ATTGTTGGGAAGAACAAAACTTTTTAGTAATTGGATGCTGAGAGCAAAAAAAACTATCCTGAGGGATTAGGATGTCTGTTCCATGTCTGTCCTTCTGGGCCCAGTGCACCGCTGCCGTCTCTCACTCGGCACCTCAATTCCCAGCTTAAATAGCAGTGTTATTTCTGTCAGGTGTAGAGTGATTGCCTCTGTCTGTTGATGGGATGCCTCGTCCAACAATTATCTAAATTCACTCTCTGGCCTTGTCTCCTTAGGAAAGCGGTCTGACAACAGAAACAGTAGAACTGGCCACTCATTGCCGGTCCCTATATGATGACAGTAATGCTCTCCTTGTGCATAGAATTTACATATTTATTTTATTTTGAATGCTTGGAATGAGGGATTTATGCTTTTATCACCCTTATTATTAGTTCATTTTAGGTTCTGGTTTTACTGCTTAGAAAGTTACCATAGGCTAAAGTTGGGGCCAGCAGAGTTGAAAGGCTTCCAGCCTCCTGAACAAGAGAAGGTGAAATACCTAGGACAAGTGCTCTAGGAAAGCTTCTCTCCCCTGGTGTTGGTGGTTATGTGCCGTAGAGTCGGTTCCAACTCATAGCCACCCTGTACAGGGTTTCCGAGGCTGTAAACCTGTACGGGAATAGAAAACCTCATCCATCTCCCGCAGAACAGCTGGTAGTTTCGAACTGCTAACCTTAAGGTTTGCAGCCCGATTCGTAACCACTATGCTACAAGAGCTCCTTCTAAGGACTTAGAAATATGGCCCATGTTTCTCCTGGTTTCTCACGAGTTAGGTCTTGCTTGTAGGCCTATTAATGAAAGTCTGATCTCTTTTGGACTCCTTGGTTCATTCTTCATTCATTGTTTCAATTTATCTTCTCTGTTTACAAAATTCTAATGTAAAATTTATCATAAGAAAGCACTGAATTGAGAGCCTCATAACCCAGGGTAGTTTCTGTGGGGGAGCTGTAAGATAAGCACTGGAATGCTAACCACAAGGTCAGTAGTTCAAACTCACCAACTGCTCCTCAGAAGATCTACACAGGGTTACTGACTCAATGGTAATTAATAACAACAAAGAATTAGATAGGAGCTCTGCTAGCATAGTGGTTATGAATCGGGCTGCAAACCTTAAGGTCAACAGTTCAAAACTACCAGCTGTTTTGCAGTAGAAAGATGAGGCTTTCTGCTCCCGTAAAGATTTACAGCCTCGGAAACCCTGTACAGAGTTGCTATCAGTTGGAACCGACTCCACGGTAATTAACAACAACAACAATCCCAGTTACCTCCCACCTCTTCCTCCAGACCCTCCAGTCACCTACTCCAGCTCAACACCTTCTGGGAAGAAAATTATATACTCAGATATTCTGCCTCTCCTACTAACTGCAACTCATATCTTACCAACATCTTATACAGCATCTTATACATTCCTAGGTAGAACCAGTGCTTCTGTTGGAGAAGTAAGCAGTCCTCCAAGACCCATTAATGTCCTCAGACCACTTTCCCTTTCATTCAAATAAAAAGCATGAGAATAAACTGGGAACTTCTTTATGATTACTGAGAAAGCAATTCTTCAATTCTTATTTTTCACAGAGTTAGCATCTCAACTTTTCATGCAAAATTGTATCATCGAAGACATTAAAGTATATCATTTTAAAGTCCTCCAAAGTAGTGTGTTTCCTAATCTGCTAACAAATTTAAGGTATCAGAACATTGAAAATGAAATTCAGAGTTTGAGTATGATGTTACCACTCACTCTGTTAAACTCCGCTGGTTTTCAGTCTAGTAGACAACCCAATTACCTTTTGCTTTCATTTAAATGAAAATGTAAATGAAAAGGAAGCATTTTTGTTCATTTGCTTGCTCACTCATTCATTAAATTAACAAATGAGGAAGGTTTTTTAAAAAAAAAAAAAAAAACTTCAAATTTTGTGTTTTCACTTTCTCATCTTTGCTTAAAAACAAATTCTGCTGAGCACTTTTTCAGTGCCAGGCTTCCCTAACAGGGTAGCTTAGATAGAAACAGACTGTACCTTTGCTATTCAAAAAGGCAAAAAACAGGTTTCAATTTCACAGATGTCAATTTGTACTTTTTAGGTCTGGGAGTCCTGGTGTGGTACTGTGGCTTAATGCGCTGGACTACACAGTCAGTTTGAACCACAAGGTGGGTGGTTCAAGCTCACCAACCACTCCTCAGAAACCCTACACAGGGTCGCTATGGGTTGGAACTGTCTCAACGACACTTAACAACATTAATTCTTTAAAAATTAGTAAAGATATTCTTAGATAATAGAAAATGGCTATCTGAATTCTATTATAAGAAGTTATTATCCATATAGTCTTCTTTGGGAGTATTTCCATTTGGACCTTAGGATGTCCAACTGACAAAAGGGACTTAACCTCCCTGAACTATGAAGAACCCGATTAGCATCTTCTTCAATAGGATGTCATCATGACAGCTTGACAATTTTAGGGTTTATTTATAGGATCCTAATGCAAGTTTCCCTTCCCACAGAAGTTACCAAATCAGGACAGTATACTATATACAGTCTATGAAAACGCTTATAAAAGTGAAGCTTATTAGCATAATGTATATTGTGTATTCAAATCCACCAGCGGCTGTTCGGAAACCCTATAAAGGATCACTATTAGTCAGAACCCCTCAATGGCACCTAACAACAACATCCTTATTCTAAGATTCTAATTTATAATAATATAGGATGGCTTTCTTTATCTATATATCTATGCATGTATACATATATGTGTGTGTATATGTGTGTGCGTATATATATATAATCTCATAAAACCAATTTGGACCTTTCCTCTACCACTAATTAGATTAGGACTAAATCTAGGAGTCCTAGTGGTGCAGTGGTTAAGTACTCAACTGCTAACTAAAAGCTAGGTGGTTCAAACCCACGAGATGCTCCATGGGACAAACTTGTGGCAGTCTGCTCCCATGAAGACTGACAGCCTAAGAACCCTATGGGGCCATTCTACCGTGTCCTAGAGGGTAGCTTAGGAGTCAGAATTCAACTTGACAGCAACAGGTTTTGGTTTGGGTTAGCACAAAATCATGTTCCAAACTATAAAATGACTTTAGCATCTTGCATATGTATACAAATATATGAATTTCATAGTTTTAAGAACTTATAACCCAAACAAAATGAATTTGTCTATGTAAATATAGTCCAGTTGTACATATTTTTATCCAGAATAATTATTGATATTATTCACTTTTGCTTGATTTTACATAGGAATTTTTCACTTTTTTATTATTTAATAAAAAGCATTCAAAAGGAGTTAGCATGTAGAAGACTTCTACAATATTTAGGTTTAATTACAACCATATTGCTACTATTTGTAATTAGTTCTGACAACTCATTTTATCTTTGAGATAATATTCACTTTCTTCTCCTTCAAGTTTGTGATAATTATGTAACGGGTACTTAGGTTAGTTCACACTTATGTCATATATTCTATAGGTTAGAATAGAATAGAAGAACTGGAAAGTGTCTGGGAGACCATCTATTGGTACATAGCTCATGATTTACAGATGAAAATAACTGAGGGCTGAAAAAACTGAGAAATTGATCCAAAGTCATTCGCAGATGGGGATTGGACCCATGTGTTATCACCCCCACCAGAGTTCTATCCTCTCTACTGGGTTCCATTATTTATGATAAATTTCAGTAACTTTTAAATAAATTGATTTACGCCTAATTCTGTTACTCACATGGGAGTGGATTGCCACAAAAACTTCCCTAAATGTAATTGTTTCTTTATCATGATCAGAACAATCTTTATTAGTAACAGTAGTCATTACAAAACCATAATTGATTATAACCCATTAAAATGGTCTTAACATTCTATATCAAGTATAGTTTTAAAGGAACCTCACATTTTCTTATCAGAAATATAACTCCCCAAATTTCCATTTATTGTTTGATTACTTTGGGATCCTAACAACCATTCATTAAGTACACAATATAAGTTTTAAATATTTGCTGTGAGGCTGGCACTGTGTTAAACACATTTGCACCATTATCTTCATACATTATTTTTTAATTGAATTTAACACATGTAAAACCATGAAAAGATATAACAGTAACACTGTTCAAGTGCTAGCAATGCAAACAAACTTTTCACTTAGAAATTTTAGTCTTAATATATTGAAGGTAGTGCTACATTTTACCTCATTAAATTTAATACCACTATAATTGGTTATTAATTCTAACTGCTAGATGATAAATCTAGTGTTGATGCTTCAACATGAAAAGAATAACTGATTTTTGGTAAAATATCAAGTTTTCCATTGAAACTCATGGATTTAACACATCTCCCAACTCACTTTTATTTCCTCATACTTCTATTTCTCTTAAGACAACACAGAACTTATTGTGGCATAGAAGCTTTCGATAAAGAAAATGTTAGGAAAAATCTATTTTGGGCCTAGATAGATAATTTTTCAATGTGGTGCAAGTTTGTTTTTAACATGAACTGATAAGGATGCCACAGAGCTCCTTCTGTAATCTGACTACACACAATTGCATAAGTCACTGAATGCATTTTTGAGCACAGATTAAGTGTTTTACATCATGGAAATATTCTTTAAAAAGAAATCAGATCAATAAAGAGCATTTACTGAGGACTATACTAGGGCTCCAAATGAGTTCTGCTAGAAAATAATAAATCACATTTCAGCCTGAATAGGATCCTTTACATTTTGTTTAGCCTAAGAATCTTTTGAGCTTAAGGCATGCAGATTGTATTTCCAAATTGGCTTGGTTTATCAGCTCTAACCGTAAGATTTGCCCTGCTTCAGGAAATATTTTTAGGGACATAGTTCAACTTTTCCAATTTAAAAAAAGTTCAAAGGTGACTTTTAACTTTTTGTTTTTCAAAAAAAAAAATAAAAATGAGAAAGCATCTCATCAAAAGATTGATCCTTTCACAGCCTGTAAAGTTTATAAGCAGTGATTTCAATCAAAGATGTTACTTACTGTAATTGTTCTTCATCTCTTGGGTCCCTTTTACTTTGCCTCGTTTATCAATCCTCAGATACCACTGTGTTCGACAGAAGAGCCTTCTCACTCTTATATCCCCTCCTTCCATGTAATCATAACTTCTTGTATGGCGCTCGGGGCTGGAACAGTTCACACTTGTAGCCATTTGCTCTGGAGTCATGTCATTGCAAGCTAAAGATATAGTGCCCACTAGACAGATAATGTGGAAGCATGATCCGTAGAGCAAAGTTGGCAGGATCCATGTCAGTATCCATTTGTGCATTATAGTGTAGTGCTCCCGGGGTTCATGAATAACATAATGAGAAATAAATCTTGAGTTGATTGTTGCTTCTAGGTCATTGACCTCTTCCTATCTGTGAACTGGAGATTGATTTAAGAAAGAGTACTTGCTCTTTCCAAACTGTTAGCCTTATCCTCTTAGTTCCTGTTACAGGATTTCTCCTTTTAAAAATTTTCTGTTGGTATATCCTTATAAAAACAGGTTGTAATAAGCTCAGTTGCTGCGATGCTGTTTGCTACTTGACTTCTGTTTGCAATAAGAGGTTAAGAATGGGGAGGGAAGGAGAGAGAAAGATGAACAACTGTATTATAAGTTTCCGTAGGTATATTTTACTATGACCTACAGTGCAGTTTATACTTGAAGGTACATTTAAAATAGCTTTCACATTCTTAATAGTATGTATAGATTTATAAAAGTTGTGCATGAGTAAAGACAAATCAAAATATTGTTGTACCATTCATTCCTGTTGCTATTTTGTATGAAACATCAAGCAATTAGAGCACATTCAAATTTGTTTGTAAAGTTACTATTAACAATCTGTAAATACTTTCTCTAGATTTCTTTATTATATGTTTTTACATTTATGATTAGTCAATTATTTTCTCCTTAACTGCTCACATTTCTCAAATTAAATATCAGGATTGCTCTAGAGAATCTCAGCCTTATCTTTCTGTAAATTCGACAGCATAATTACTATAGAATGCATTAAAACCAGGCATCTTTACTTATTCTCTCACATACTAAAAGCAGAGGAAAATATAAACTATTTTAAAACATTCAGCATTATTTTTAAAGACAAATAACAGTAACTTACTTGTTCTGTTGATAACAGCTGGATACATAAGAATCCCATGTCTGTTGTCTGCCTTGTGCAACTTGAGCCTTTCTACTGTAGCTACAAACTATTTCTCAGCTGAGAAAGTCTGCAGCAGAATCATAATTGTTTCCATAAATCAACAGGCAAGAGGATTTTCTCTGTGTGTGTGAGCGCGCGTGTGCTTGTGTGTGCATGTGTGCTTGTGTGTGTGCGTGTGTGTGCGCGCGGAGCCTTTTATTCAGAGCTTTTCAATAAATACCTTTGCTGACCTCATTGGAAGCAATTAAAACTTAACCAGTGAGCTGTTAGTTGGATACAACAGCAAGAATAAAAGGAAGCTTATATAGTAGCCAATGGTTTGGGCTAAAATCTACAAGTGGGTACCTACTTTATAGAGAAACAGATCTCTTGATTCCAAAGTAGTTGGAAGAGGGGAAAGGAATCTTTAAAACCTTTTTCACCACATGGTATTTGCATATACTTTGAAAACTATTTTAACACACAAAAGATTTTTTTAAAGTTCATGGGAAAATGTCACTACCTTTTAATGACATTTTTCCATGTTCTTTATGAAGATTGTATGTATCTATAATCAGAAAATCCTTTCTATAACTTTATGCAAGCATGTTTTTCTGTAATTACTCCTTTATGTTAGAATAAAAGTACTAATTTGTATTAACGCACATCTTATCTTTAAAGTACTGTATATCTTCCTGTAGAGATAATTCACTATTGCACATGATTATAATTTTTATGTCTTATACGACTAGACTGAAAATGAGAAGACCTAGGTTCTTATTTAAGGAGCTCTGGTAGCACAGTGATTACAACTCAGGCAGCTAACCAAAGTCAGCGGTTCGAAATGACCAGCTGTTTCGTAGGAGAAAGATGAGGCTTTCTGCTCCCGTAAAGATTTACAGCCTCAGAAACCCTGTATAGGGTTGCTATGAGTCAGGACCAACTCCACGGCACACTACCACCACACTATCTTATTTGATTTCGGTTGGCCACCTTGGGCCAGTCATTTGATGTGCCTGAGTCTCAGCTACCACTTTTGTAAAAATTAGTGAATTTTTCTAAGTGTTTCTATGTTGCTTTTCAATTTTAAAATGTTGTGACTTGTAACTTATATCACTAGTTCAAACCCACAAGCAACTCTTCAGAAAACATATACAAGGTTCCTACGAGTTGAAACCAACGTGCCGGCACTAAACAACAACATTAATATAAGGAAAATGATGCTTTATTTTTTTAATTTTTCTTAAAAATTAAAAATAAAGAAACCATTTTACTTTAGATGCCAATATTTGACTCTTACCACCAGAGCATCAGCACAACAAATAAATATTAACTTAGGGATGGAATTGTAAGAACTACAGCTAATGTAAGTGAGTCATTCTTCCCTTTACTTTCCATTTCAGCTTGTATATAGTCCTGAACATGTGTTTAATTAATAACTGGTGCCATATACTTGCATTATTAATCTAAACCAATATTTAAGCGTGCATATTGAAACGCTCTTTCCCAATTTATATATTCCCCAACGCGTGCACACGAGCACACACACACACATACACACCCTTCTTCTCTACTTGAAATGCACTACATTACCACCAGGTGGTGCATGTAGACCAAATAGGAAAAGAAAATGAAGTTCATTCTACTGAATTATATTTTATGTGTTTTGTGATTTCCTTTTGCGTCTCTGCTTTTAGGGAATAGTGTCAAGAGTACAGAATAGTTTAAATGTATCCAGTTACTCTTTAGGTGCCAAATTTTGAAAGTTGTAATTTTATTTAAAGCAAAAAAAAGTTGGGCCATTCTATAATTACATATGTTGAATGCTAGATGGCTGCAAAACTTTCTGTCATGTATTTCGCTAACCGGAAGCGGGGTAGGAAATAATATATGATACTCCTGTGCTATGAATCATAACCCACTCATTTTGGAGACAAAAATTATGAGCAGGGTTAAAACTTCTAAGACTCAATGTTCCTTCGAAAGAAATGAAAATTAATGATCAGATCTCAGTGTAAATTTATTCAAGAACTACTAAATCTATGTGTTCCACACTTAATCCACAAGATTTTAATCCAAGAAGTCAACAGATTAAAGTTCAGTATCCACTGCTAAAAAAAACAGATAGTGTGTTAATGGACTAAAGAGGTGTTGTGACGGGCCCTCGAGTCGGTTCCTATTCAGAGTGACCCTGTATAGGGTTTCCAAAGAGCGGCTGGTGAGTTTGAGCCACCGACCTTTCCATTCAAATGGACCTTGCAGTACAAGGTTTTCAAGCCTGTAATCTTTAGGGAGGAATCCTGGTGTGGTACTATAGGATAAACACTGGATCACGGGGTTGTGTTGGACACTAACAACACAACAGAGAGTTGCTGATAGTCAGGCGCCTCTTTATGATGACAGTTGGTTTGAGGGTTAGAGAAGGTAACTCTCTGAATTGTGCTAAAATTATTACTAGTAAGACTGATTTATTTATTGTCCTTGATGTAATGTATGAGTACATTATTGTTGTTGTTGTTGTGATGTGCTGTGGAGTCAGTTCCTACTCATAGCGACCCTGTACCGCGTTTCCGAGGCTGTAAATCTTTAAGGGAGCAGAAAGCTTCATCTATCTACTGCGGAACAGCTGGTAGTTTCGAACTGCTAACCGTAAGATTAGCAGCCCGATTCGTAACCACTACGCTACCAGAGCTCCTTATAGGTGTAAGCAAAGTACATGGGGCCACGATGAGTGGAAATCACTCACAGGTAAGTAACAAAAATCACAGTAGGACTTTGAAGAATTCTTTCTTTTATCGGTCTAGATTGTTTACATTAACTTCCTTCTCAGTGGGAAAAATTCCATCTCTTAGCTTTAAATTTGTTTAGCAAGAGTTTCTTGCATCTGGTAGAGTAGTGGTTACGAATCGGGCTGCGAACCGTAAGGTCAGCAGTTCGAAACTACCAGCTGTTCCACGGGAGAAAGATGAGGCGTTGTGCTCCGGTAAAGGTTTACAGCCTCGAAAACCCTGTTCAGGGTCGCTTTGGGTCGGAACCGACTCGACGTCACTTAACAACAACAACAACAACATTCCTAAAGCGTAACTTTTTGTTTGTTTATGTCCTTTGAAAGTAAAGGTTGGATTTGAAATTTAAAAGGCAACATTTACACAAGGACAAAGTTCCGAAGAGTTAGGTAAGATGGAGGAATGGAAACAAAAACTTAAGAGGAAGTGAAATAAATTGTTATATTGAAGGAATTGCAATCCATGCAATGAAACAAAATGTGCATAATTATCTAATGTAAAACTGATAATCGGCTCTGGAAACCTTCAACTAATTCAAAATAAGAAGTTTAAAAGAAACTATTTGCTCCTAGGATTTTTAACAAAGAAGTAATGCCTACTACCCATTCACGTTTCATTTGGATGTAGAATATGTGAAAAGATTACATATAATTAATTAATATCATAAAAACATTGCTGCTGTTGTTGCTGTGAGGTAAAATAAAGTCAAGACCAACTCAGGGACCATATGCACAACAGAACAAAACACTGTCCCGTCCTGCGCCAATCTCACAACCCTTGCTACACTTGAGCCAACTGCTGCTGTCACCATCCCAATCGATCTCATTGGAGGTCTTCCTCTTTTTTGCTGACCCTCCACTTTATCAAGCATGATATCCTTATCCAGGGACTGGCATCATGATAATATGTCCAAAGTATCAGAGACCAAGTCTGGCTATCCTGGCTTCTAATGAGCATTTTGGTTGTGCTTCTTCCAACACAGTTTGGTTTGTTCTTTTGGGAGTCCATAGTAATTTAATAGACTTTACCAACACCATAACTCAAATGCAGCACTTCTTCTACGACCTTCTTTATGCATTGCCCAGCTTTCACATGGCATATGAGGCAATAGAAAACACCATGGCTTGAGTCAGGCACATCTTAGTCCTCAAACTGACATCTTTGGTCTTCAACACTTTAAAGAGTTCTTGTACAAGAGATTGGTCTAATGCAATACATCATTTGATTTCTTGACTTCTGCTTCCATGAGCGTTGATAATTGATCTGAGCAAAATGAAGCATTGACAACTTCAATCTTTTCTCCATTTATCTTGATGTTGTTTATTAGTCCTGTGGTGGAGGTAAAGCACAGCTCTAGAAGAAAAAGTCAAATATTATAATGAAATGTGTTAAATTTGGGAGTTAGAATATCAACTCTGGATTGTTTGTTTATTTGTTTGTTACAATGAGGTGCAACCCATACCAAAGGCTGTGGTTTTTTATCTTTGTCAGTTAAGTATTTTAAATCCTCTTTTGCTTTCAGCAAGCAAGGTTTTATCATCTGCTTATCACAGGTTGGTAATGAGTCTTCCTCCACTCCTGATGCTATGTTCTCCTTCATATAATCCAGTTTTCCAGATCATTTACTCAGCATACATATTGAATAAGTATAGTGAAAGAATGCAATGCTGACACATACCTTTCCTAATTTTAAACAATCCAGTGTCCCCTTGTTCTGTTCCAACAACTGACTCTTGGTCTGTGTATAGGTTCCTCATGAGCACAATTAACTGTTCCATAGGACTGAATCTCCTCAATGTTGTCCAAAGTGTGTCATGATCCACACAATCAAAAACCTTGCATAGTCAATAAAGCACAGGTAAACATCTTTCTGGTATTCTCTACTTTTTAGCCAAGGTCCACCTGATGTCAGCAATAATAGCCCTCATTCTACATCCTTGTCAGAATCTAGCTTGAATCTCTGGAAATTCCCTGTCAATGTACTACTACAGCTATTTTATGAATTATCTTTAGCAAAATTTTACTTGCATGCGATATTATTGATATTGTATGGATCACTGCCAATCAGTCATCCAGGTAGCTGTTTTCCAAATTTCTTGGCATAGCTGAGCAGGTTCCTGCAGTGCTGTATCAGTTTGTTGAAAGGATTCAATTTGTATTCCACCAATTCCCAGAGCCTTGTTCTTTACCAATGCCTTCAGTATACCTTGAACTTCTTTCTTCAGTACCGTTGGCTCTTGATCTTATGCTACCTCGAAATGTTTGAACATCGACCGTTTCTTTTTGGTACAGTGACTCCGTGTATTCCTTCAATCTTCTTTTGCACAGAGAACCCCTTAATATTGTAAGTCGACACTGGTATTTTTTTCTTCAG